ATCAACCCTTGCTGGTCACCAAAAAAACTCCACACTACCCTGAGATCTACGCTCTTCTCGAAATTTTGCTCTTGAACATAATGAACGTCAGAAAGGAGTGTCATGTAACTCCTATTGCGCTCATGTCACGAGAATGAAAGAAAATTTAAAAACCTTTTTTTTTGCCGGAGCATCAGGGATCACCAAGATAATTACCCCGGGTGAGCCCTCTCGAATGTCATTGACCTCTGACAAAGGGGCAAAGATGAAACACTGCTTGAATTGTACATGTGAAGAACATATTTATCATCGAAATTGGTCGAGTAATTTGGTGATTGAAGCACGTGAGGGGATTTCGTAGCCTGTGGCTTTCCTTCCCTAGAGGGAGTAGTCACATGGATGGTGTCAGAAGGATTCCGAGAAATCTGCAAAAAGAGTAATCTCAGTTCCCCAGAACAATATTTCCCTTGGCGGATGAGAAAGCTTTCGCCTTTCCTATCGCCCTTGCAAATATTTGCGTATACCGACGCGATCCGCGCCGCCTATTTGACCTTCCATTCGCTATCGATCCCTCTTTCTCTTTTCTCCTTTCCTCCTCTATTCCTCGAGGCTTCATGGAATGCACTTTTCGCAGCGAATTGAATAGTTTTTTTTCTATATCCGACAGGAGAGGAAGATGGAGAGAAGAGGAGGAATAGTTTCAATGTACAGCCGACAAGGAATGGAGACGTCAAAGGTATAGATCAACGTTTTTTTCCCTCTTTTCATTCTGATCCTCGCATGATCCTTCTCTCCCATCACACATTATCTTCATCAGCCTCCTGATTTTTGAATGACTCTCCTCCCTCCTTCATGAGTAGAAAATAACATTTTCTCGGTCTATACTGTATTGCTTACTCCTTCGCATGAAATTTCACACTCCCTCCCGCTTCTTTAATCTGTCTCGTTGAAAAATCGAGAAATGTTTGCTAGCGAGCTTCTTCCTTGCAAGGACCCACCTGCTATGACACGATTAGGAATTTTGAAGAAGTTTTGCAATCCATTCCCATTCTATTCAAGCTCCTGCCTTCATCGCCTTACGTGTTTTCGAAGTAGGAGGAGGAGGTGAGGGGTAAAAGGCTGGAGTTGTATATGTGCTTACTCAAATGCAAGCCATCCGAATCCTACAGTTACGCGTGTAGGATTTTCGAATGGAGAGGAATCTGGGGACTGACGCGTCGAGCAGGAAGGTGTGTGCTGACGGGATCCAGGGCGTGCGTTTCCCCTTGGTTTATGCCTCGGAGGGGGAGAAGAGAGGGATTAACACGCACTTTCCTGAGCTGGAAGAACTGACGGCGACTGAGTAGGGGCAAGAGTGTGGGGTTGTAGTCGCATTGGAGGAATGGGGTTGAAGCCCCCCAACCTCCCCTTTCCCTGCAGACACGTCCCTGGAATCCAAAATTAGGTAATGGCGAAGTAGTGGCCCAAAAAATAAGCAAGTTTTTCTCTTTCCTCGGCTATGCAAAAGAATCACGTCATATCCACCATATTGTCCATCTATGTCAACCACCTGAATAATTCGAAAGATTTGTGGCTAATCGACTCTTTTTCCTTCAAATTTATAGTTATTAGGGTCAAGGAGAAACTCATAAAGTCAACGTATTTGGTCTCAATCCCTACGTGTTTTCTAGATACGACCCAGAAAAGTGTGACACACTTAAAATTAGTTTTTGAAAAAATCGTGACACAAATATTGGTCCAATAAGTATACATATTTGGTTCATGAGAGGTGGTTAGTTGCTGAAACGAAATGTCATGAAGAGTGAAATTCAATTACTAATGTTGCATGTAAAATTAAGTGTATTTTCAAACATATTATTTTTGCATAAGTGAAACGATAATAAATCCATGGGACTGAGGAGGGTGGAATGGAATTGCATTTGATGATCAAAATTGAGTGCTGTTGGGCATTGGTCCTTACCTCTTTTTATGAGCGACACGCTCATATATGAAAGACTTGTCAACAAGGCACCTGGTGAAGGCCTTGCGAGGAGATCGAGTTCAAGTAGAACGGGGAATCATTGATTCTCTCAAGAGGGTTCATTTACTTATAAGAACGTAGCACTGCGAGTGAAAAACAAATAAAACTTATCCTTTATTCTGCTTAAGTAAGGTGTCGACAGATGAGAGAGAACGAATAAATTCCGATTTTTTTTTATTTTCCGAAGTATAAGGAGGAAAATGAATAGAGTATTCTACCGCAACCAAAACGATTAATATTGAGCGTGTTCATTTTCAAAATGGGCGGGTATGAGAATGACATCAATATGGGTTAGTAGATTTCATTTAAGAGCCCATTATGAATTTGAATAATTCCATTGAAGCGGATAACGAGCATGCCGCTCCTTGTATCCATTAGAGGAAATACCAGGGATATTCCCGTATTTGCCCTTCAGTGCTGCATATGCTGAGACCTAGCCTCAGAGGATGAACAAATTCATTCATGATTTCTCTGTCTTTCCATCACTAGAAATCAAGCAAAGAACAAACGCGAAATGTAAAAAAGACATTCCGCCAAATGAACCTAAGCTTCGCCCCGGGAAGCAACGAAAAAAGAAGGAAAAAATGGAAGTACCCATTTAATCGCTTTTGCGAATAGCACATTAATGCACTGCACTTTCCCTCTGAATTTATTAAATATTCTCAAGTTTTCCCTGCACAACTTCAGTGTAGTGCTAGCGGATTATTTTGCATAATTCCACTGAGTATCAGAAGCAGAGCAAATAAAATTATTTTGTAGTTTTATAATATTTTCTAAAAAACGTTGGCTCATAAAAAGTATTTTATACGAATACAAGTCTCACAAATTGTGTAGAAATCTACTCAACCCATCTCAAATTGCAATATGCTAAAAATAATATTTCAATGCTCAGCTTTAGCGAGTGATTTCATAAAATCAAAGTTTGAGGTGTCGACTTGATTCTTTGATGGTTTTTGGACATGCACAATGAAATCAGCCTTTTTTTCTATGGAAATCTGGACTATGCATATGGCATGGATAAAACCTAATTAGGCTTTCTCCTGACGTGGCACGTGCACGGCGCTCAAAGGTTGGGGAGTAAACGCTAATAATGTTCAAGCGGTGTTGTTCAGCAAAAGACAGATATAATGCCATCACAACTACTACGCGGGTGTGCCCTACATTACCATGTAACTTTTCTTTTTTACGCCAGTACATTCATCTTGGAGATACAGAATGTAACTGAATTTATAGGTGATAAATATTCGAATTTTGAATTATTAGAATTCAGTGATTCTCTGAGTGGCATAGCCAGGACCTTATTCTTGGAGGGTCAACGGGATTATAAGGGAGGCCCCGTTTTGCTCGTGAAAACCACAGAATGCTAGGAGTTTAAGCTTTTAGTAAAATATAAAATATGTAAACTCGCGTGCTCAGAATTATTAGTGGATCAAATTGTGATGTGTGATGCATTTCAGTCTCACCAAAATTCTTGAATGTGGGGGGTGGAGGGACAAATGACAGCACACTGCAGTGGGGGGATTCCGCAAAACTAGATCCGCTTGCCAGAGATTTGCATTTAACTGGGAAAAAAGGAGGGGAGAGCAAAGGGCATCTTTTGTTCTCTACTCTTTCCCCCTCGAATCAATTATTTGATTTTATTTTTTAATTCGAAATCAGTCAAGCGACCTCGACTCTGACGGTTGAGATGGGATGGTACTTTTTGACAGAAGTTCTGCTTACGGTTGGGCGATTTCCTGATCTTCAAAATCGGAGCACTCTTCTGTGAAATATTGCTATTTGAATGAATGTGGGTAGCATTTCTGCTGCGTAAGGTCCAAGAAGGAATGGAAAAGGAAAGAGAAAATGCTTGTCTTTTTTTAGGCCACCTTGTACAAGCAGTTTCGAGAGACGAGGAACGAGCAAACTGGGAGCAGCACTGTACAAGATCAGAGAGGAATCTTTAAACACGCAGGACTCTGCGTGTATAATTTCGTACATCTGTCCGGATCGGTGGAATACCACACCCAAGCAGGGCCGTAATAACCTCGTGTGGCGCCCTTGGGGAGGGCATCATGTACCCCCCTTCCCCTTTGGCTTTTTCTCTCATTGTGTCTGTTAGTTCTCCCGTCCCTTGAACTGGTATCTGCGTATACACGTCTAAGTTTTGCGCTCCCTCAGTTGAAGTGAATCTGAATGGCAAAGCCCAGTCGACATCTTTTTTTATTCAAGTATATAAAAGTCATGAGATCATGAGTATCTCCATGAGTATTCATCGGCACGCTCATGGGTCTCCATCGATAACCACAGCACTGCTCCCCTTGCTTTTCGAGGTGCGAAGATGTCAATGATATGGTCAAAATCCCATTCTTTGGCTACTTGATTTTCAATGGAGAGTATCGCAAGGCCTGGGGAGCCTTTCTTGAACCAGCGTGGATCGGATGTATGTCTTCATAAGCTTCTCTCGCATGAAGCAATCGATGAGGGAAGAGGAAGAACAATCCTGAGAGCTATCTCCAAGTTGGGATACGCATCGACTACGCATCGACTCGTCGTCGATGCGTATCGAAAGTCGAAACTTCTTCATTCCATCTTTTTAGGACTATCTTTTCACCGTTGAACATCCCAGATGACACGTTACGTTGGCCCAACGCTGGGTAAAGGTGGAAAAGTTGGAGCTTTTCTCGCTTCTCGCACAGTACGCTCAAGTTCCCTTCCCTCTTACCCTGGAATCGTCCCTCGCAGGATTGTTTAGTACCTCGCCATATGTTTCGCCTAGTCTAGAGGAATCAATAAACGCGGAAACTTCATCATTTGTTATCCTCATATTCACGACAGATTCATGGAGCCCAGGCCATAAGCAAAGCTCATATTCCCAATGAGAACCCCTTTGAAAAACAGGAGGATCTCATCCGAAAAGGAGATCTAGAATCTCGAAGGAGCGTCCTTGAACTCAATTCCGCTCTTTCCTCATCTTGATGGCAGAATAAGGGAAATTAAGGATTAATATCGCGGATACTTCATGGAACCACATGAGGTGGTCCTGGTATGGTACATGCTCTTGCATGTACCATAATCAATGCAGTCAGTGGCAGATCAACGTCTGTACTGTCCTATGTCTCCTGCCTATTCAGAGCATATAAAAATGTCCATGGCAGGTTGTTGTACATAGTTCTGGCTACGTATTGCAGATGGGAATACCTCCACCGGATGATGGATTTAAGTACATGGCACGCAATGATGATGGTCAATATAAAGCAAAAACCAGCTACTTGGGTAAGTGGGTTAAATGTTGCGCTACAACTTCCTGCCAACGTTGGCCCCACATTGGTCTAACGGTCACTTTTACGTGGGGCCTACGTGAATAACCTACATTGGGCCAACGTGAGCCCCACAAAAAATGTTATTAAAAAACGTTATTTGGGACATTTTTTCTTTTAATTTTTTTCTGCCTCATTCGTTTTTCATTTGCTTCGCCCCCTCCCTTCCTTAGGGGGCGCCCGGGACCGGGTGCCCCTACTTGCCCACCCCTCTTATTTACGACCCTGCACCCAGGTGACAAGTGTCATCTCGGTTTTCGACCACAAGCGTAGTTCGCTCTACGGTCTTTTCTTGCGTCAATTTGTGACGTACCCATTCTTGTGCTTATCATTTTCATGGGCGAATGCTCATGAATCGCGGAATTTACACTACATTATTATTGCCCGCTCTGGCAAGATAAAGGCGAACTAAGTCGTCTATGAGACGGATCTGTCGGCGAATTGATTTTCTCTACGCAGACCCCGCTCTCGAGATGAAGACGAACGCAGAAGTACGCAACGATGAGGAAACGATAAAGGCCTCCTTTGTCCTACTTTTACAGTTGATTAATTTATTATTTGACAAGGCACACGCGTGAATGGATGATTGGTCCAGCATCGAAGCAATTATGCTTACCAGGGACATCAACAGATCTTTGAATTCTCCCACATCAAGTAGTAACTGAACAGACGAGACACCAGATAGAGGTGATGTACCGACTCAGGAGCATAGATTCCATGGTTCTCCTTTGAAGTTTTGCGAATTCCCTCCTTCCAGGGAAGGCGATCTCGCCGATCTCACCTCGATTGATGGAGAGAGAACGAGCCTGGTCGGCGAGTCCGTCGGCAAGTCGGCTGAACTTGAGCACGGTTGGTCTCACGGCCCCCACCCCATCCAAAGACTCTCGATCCCGTCTCGCCCGCATCCTCAATTCCTCGACGCAACGCCTCTCCGTCACCGGATGCTCCAATTACAACGGCCACGTCGGGGGAATGGCCGTGAGCCCCAGGAGAGCCTTTCGGGAAGATTTTCCAAGGTATTTCAATTTTCATCTTCTCGTTCCCTTTTTTCATAGAACGAGCGAAAAGACGGGCGGAATTCGCAGCTCCGTCCTTTTCATAATGGATGAGAGGAAAGCAGACAAGAGAGCCGGATGGTTCATTTCGGGTGAAGGGAGGCGACGGAAACGACAGGACATCTTTTTTCTTTTCTTAAGTCGCGTGGGTTCTAGTGTCACGCCGGTCCAAACCGGACCTCCGTAACTAGGAAAAGACCTCCCGAGGAAAGAGGAATAAGAAATATATATATAAAAAAAAGTATGCAGGGATTTTCCCTCTCCCATTCTTGAAATGCCGCAGATGCTCCCACGTCCATTCGTTTGAGATAGGAGTCCCCGAAGAGACGCCTTCTTGTCTCAACGAGATTGAGAAGAAAAATATATTGCTGCAGACATTGCGCATTCCGACGAGAGGAGCTTATACAAAACTGGAACATTCTATGGAGAATTTATTTTTCTATAATCTGTAGGACTAATTAGGTAATCCTATAAATTATTTCTCAGAGTGTTCCAGTGTTTTATTTTAAAATATTAATACCTGCGATTTCATATACATTATGGCATAAATCCCGTGGGATCATGATTTGCTGGTGAGTGATATAAACTTGCCTGGTTGGAGGAACTTCTAACTTGAAACCACGTTTGTTTTACAGGAAACAAGCCAGAATAAATTACGCCATCCATTCCATTAGCGCAATATATTGAAAAAAGAAGCCTATATTGGTCCAACATTGGGGATGGTGGGGCACCATGGATCCCTTTTTTTTAGTGGGCCTGCAATGTAGGCAATTTTATTCTTCTGAAGCGATGGAAGGCGCTGCGTGTAAAAATTCACATCACCTGCGCAATCCTCTGCTTCAACGTTCTACAGCTACAATTATCGATCGATTAAGTCGTTTTTAGAAATGGGGTACAATAAGTCAATGTCCGGGGCACGACGGGTCGTCCCCATAGTCATCGCAAAAATGAAGTTCAGTTGGCCCAAAGTCATCACACAAATGAGTCTCTCGTACCACAGGAGAAGTTCTTGGATACTGATGCACTTCACCACAGTTTTTTTTTTTTAAAGTAGGAACCTTCAATCGGAAAATAATTTACGATTCGTTTCACGTCCAAGATTATCATATCTGTTGGTGTTGAACCCTTCAGAGTCTTGCGCTTTAATTGCGCGCTATGAGGTCGGAAAAATACTGCAGAGGAAATTATGATCTGCATTGACAAATATCAGGAAGCCTTTTGGCGCACTGTGAATTATGACCCTTCGTGCCCCAACACGAGCCATAAAAATGAAATCAGGATTACAACCAAAGTAAGTTGCGATCGTAACTCATACGCGCAGGCATCGTAGGCAGAACCTCCCAAATCTCCCAAATCTCACCCCAGCAAGTATAAAGACTTTCATCGAAAGAAACAAATAGCAAAAGTCGAGATGTCATTGTCAAGACATTCTTCTACAGAAAAGCGTCACAATCTGCACTTTGGGTGGGGACTACTCTTTCTTTCAACTATATTTTCCTGACACCTCAGCTGGAAGATATATAGCAGATGACATGAAGAGAAACAGAACTGGGAGGACTACAGACAGCCTGACCCGTAGTACCCTGTGACTCATGGTGCCCCACCCTCCCCTACTGCGCCACTGGGGCAGGGGCGTACTTTCCAGGGGGGCCGTCTCCCTCCCCCTCCTTCCTTGCTTGTCCTCAACAGTGCTTAGCTCCCCTCTCAGACGTTCTCCCATGGGAGCCCTCGTATGGATATTGGCACGCGCCCCTTCGAATCCTCGCTTTTAATGACGTATTATAAATGATACACGATTCGCACTGTGTGATTCGACGTAAAACGTATAACCTTTTCTTAGCACCTAGCAGCTTTCCGCACAGAACATTCGCTTTTAAATATTGGTTGCACAACTTTGAGGGATCTCTTGGAAGTAATTGCTAATGGTTCGCCTGCATTCCTTCATATGTCAACACTTATTGAAAACTGGATTTTCCACTCCAATGAATATATATTGAATGATATTTAAAAATCCAAATGTCCGGAATTCTAGACACCGGAAGTAGATAAGAAATCGTGTTCCAACTTTTCCAGTTCTACCTGTTTCGATTTTCCATCTACCATTCCTTTAATATTGTTACGGAGGGAAAGTGTGAGACGGACGATGGAAGGCATGAGAGGACGAAAGAAGCCAAGGAACAGCCGGAAATTGAACCCGGGTCTCACTGATTGCCGGTCAGGTGTGCTACCTTTACACCACCGAACCCCGGACATTCAGTCGAGCCTCTCGATGCCATCCTCATCCGTCACAATATATTGTACTGGAAGAGAATATTTTTTTTTATTGATAACAATAGGGGACGGTTCCAGGAATGACCAGAATTGTGATTTCTTCTTTCAGTGTGATGATCGATAGAGCACTGAATGAGAATGAAACCTCTAGGCTATTTTTTTTTTCTGCTCTTCAGTTAGTTTGGTGAAGGCAAAATAACTAGGCTTCACGGGAGGTGTCCCTTCTCTTTTGCTGAAGGTGTATTTCCCGCACGGCAATAATATGCACTATTAGAAATTATCGTTTTTTGTCGCAACGCCTGACAGGTGGCGTAGATGTATTTTAATGCCAGTGTAATAAGATGGATTTTAGTTTTAATAGTGCACTTCATCATCATTACGAACAAAAAATGTACTTTCATTGCAGGAGTGCATATCAAAATACACTGTCTTCGAAACTCTACTGCTATGGAGTATGGTCAGAAATAATGCATTTAATCAAGAAATCCATCGAAAAGAGAAATTTCAATGCAACCCAGCTTCTCTTGTTTTTCATGCATGAACTTGAAAATGCTTTTCCTCGGCATCCTCTTTTCGCCATCCTGCCACCCTTAGCTCATAAGTCAAAATACGTCACTAGTGTGTAATTGTAGCTGTCGTCTCCAACGTCATTTATTATAATCTATTGTTGATTAATATTATTCCTCCCTCCTCCCCAGTACTACGTAATGAATCCTGTATTGTGAATTCCAGCCTGATGCTGTCGAGAAGCGGAGGTGGGGCAGGAGGGCCCTTGCGGAAAGCGTCCTCTATGGAGAGCATAGTGGAGAGCCTTAGTTCCTACCGATCTCCGGCAGATGTCTCTGGAGCTTTCGGCAAGGGCTTTCTCTCTAAGTCTCCTCGTGTCGGAGGTTTCATGTCCCCTGCCGTCAGCAAGAGGATCCTCAGTCGAAACGAATCGCCTTCTATCGGTAGGCCCATTAATTTTTATTTGCATTGCAGGAAACTGAAAAGATGAATCCTCGGTCGAGATTTTTGCATAGGCAGATGCGTCACAATGAGGCGATGCTCCAACCGCCTCACAACCGGATTTCCTTTTTTCTCTTTGAAGAGCCAGATCCGGAAGCGATTCACTGCACTTTTTTTTCCTTCTTCCTTCCTTTTCAAGCCTTTTCTTCCTTCAAAACAACAGCTCTGTGAAAGACCTCTCAGCATGAACCCGTTATGCCTCAATTACATAAGATCAAAGGGTTGTTAAGTAATATACTACAGCCTCTCCGGGGTGAATAGGGGACTCGGTCGACGTAATTCTCGTCGAGGTTAATGAGCGTGGAAATGACGACAGGTTCACCTCTGATCGGTCAGGTAATTGGATTGAAGATTATCCTAAGAATGCTTTATGTTCCCTACTGGCATTGCACAGTGGATCAAGTTCCGCGAGAATGTGGACGAAACATCGAGGGAGAATTCCTGTACGGTTCGCAAGTCCGTGATTAAATGCTGAAAAAAATGTTCATGGACTCCGCGTAGGGGATTTCAGGTTACATTTCAGGCTAGCTGAAAGAAACCAACTTTACCATGAAGCCCATGGAGTCGCTCTCAGTTGGGACTTTCTTTGCCGCAACTTCATGTGTAGAGAATGTACTCATGCTGCGTAAGTTATTCAGGGTCCCAACAAAATATTTAGTTAAAAACAGGACGCTCCATAGAGGCATTTGGTAAATCTAATAACATAGAGTTCGCTCATCGTTCGAATTTAAATGTTTGTGATAGTAAAGTGAGGGATGGGAGAAAAAAAAGGTTTTGCCTGGTATTCATTGACTTTGGTCCACTTTGCATGAAATTCATGGTCAGCTGAGATGAAAAGAAGTCTAGAATCTTCTTTTTCCTCCTACCGTCTCCAGAACTTTTCTTCAGGTATGTACATGTTACTTGCAAGACTTATGATGGACATACACTTCCCTGATTAAATTTTACCATCATTAACCTGTTGACTTACACATGACGCACGTCTATGCGTGATGACTCGTCGTGCGTCTGATACACGTGACACACCAGCATGCGTCATGAAAATTTCAAATCCTCCCGCCCTTCAAAATTCAGCTGTATCAGGTCTGCATATTTGTAGCTACTTTGTACGCTCTTTGCTCGATGTCAGGCCATTACAGTTTCTTTGGAAAGAGGTGGAGGCCTTGTATGATACGCTTATACATGCGTGCAATTAAAAAAAAAGAGCATTCTCGCTATTTACTGATGTATCAGAGGTACGGCGCCTTCAAAATGGTGTGCAGTGAAGGGGTTACATTTCATAATCATTCATCTCTTCTATGCAAATACCTCTTGTTCTCATGAGGAAGAAGAAAGTGAAGAAATTAATGATGGTTAAAATAAATTGCATTACATCGGCCTTAGGCAATCGTTCCGAACTTCCACTTGGCGTGGGGCAAGGGTGAAGAGACCGATGTCTGCCAGGTCAGCAGACCTGGCAGATCTCGGCAAGCATGAGTTTCCTTCATTCAAACGATTTCCAACCGCATTGGCGTTTTGACCGTCATTATCAGCACCACACAAGAGGTCTAATGCGGAATTAACTTGTGACTCCAGCTTGGTCCGATCACCAAAGAGTTGGAACGAGGAGTTGGCATTTCAAAACTATGCTATCCTTCTTCAGTCATCGTTCAGCGTCTGTGTCATCATTCAGTGAAGGGAATTGTTTAAAACGACAGCTCAGTCTAACGATCACTGCTGTCATGGCTTGTTTCTACCCTATGAGAGTGTATTTCGTGGCCCAGTGTCCGTGTACGTGTTGCCTCAGATCAGTAAATGCATGACTTTCAAGTGAAGTGTCGGACGTTTGCCTGGGTCTTATCGACGCGCGTTTCCTTTGTCTGCTTCTCGTCTTTCATTCATTTTGAGTATTTTAAGGAAGCACAGAGCGTCACTGATAAGCTCGAGCTCATTTTTCATTTTCATTCACCCTAATCCTCTTCACTTCACAAACGCGTTTATCGCGGGCATTCAAATAATAGCATGTCACCAGATAAGCATTAGGAATGTCTTTTTGTATGCAAACGATTGGAATTTGATATCAAGCAGGATATTTTCGTCTTGTTCAGCGCCTCAAATGCAATTTTTTTAAATAATTCACTTACTTTTCATTGTAAGGCGACTGTGCCTAATAGTAAACATAGTAATTGCATATAGTCCTGCTCCTAAAAGTCACATTCATGGTCACGCATCAGTCCATATTGGTGCAGTTACCTTCTGAAGGCCTTCGAGTTTATAAGCTTTCATTTATAACGGGTCGGTACTCGCAAAAATCTGAAAGTACATGATCGGGGACAGTGGTGCAATCACCCCAGTTTTTGAGGGAAGGGGAGTTAATAGGCTTCGTCAGCGAGAAGCGCAGCAAAAACCTGCATGAATCCGTTCGATTATAGAAAAACCGCGAGTCACGCTCATTGATTGTTTTCACGGTGACCGCTTCTGATTGAGATTCCTGAGAGGACTGGGATGAGCTGGATTCAGCTCCGCAAAAGGGGGACCAGTTCCCGAGATATCGTGGCTCTCCATCATAAAAGAGTAGGTAGACGACCAAGAGATTAGATAAAGCGACGGTTAACGTCGGATGTATGTGTTGTGCATATTTTCATATTTATTCCAACCAGTTTGTCCTACCTGATATACGAGTATAAAAAGGAGGCTTTTTTAAATGTGAGTACTTCATGCCCTCTGAACCTTGGTTGCATCATTAGTTGAGGATCAACTTCTTCTCTGTACACTCGGTTTTCTCTGGGATTATGCTCTTAGGGCTCCCTAGCAGAGAGCTTCGAGAACTGACAGCTGAAAGTACTTCCAGTGAAGTATTTAACCGATTCAAGCAAATATATCTGTGCTTTTCTTAGCTTTGTACTGATGCTTGTATTTTTGAGCACCCAAGATTGAAGAAGTACTGAAAACACTGAATAGTCCTTTTAACGAAAACTCAACCGAGTGTCTCATAGCAAAAACTGGAAGGTGATGTCGACAAGTGACGTACTGATGGACTTACCACCGGATATGCCTTTTGAGAGTATTGAGCTTTACGTAATGGCAGTACTAAATTAATCTGAAAAGAAACTAGTTACATTCTCTCAGCTCAGCAGATAAGGCGGCTGCATATGAACAAGATTAGAAAAATTTGAATAATACATAAAAATTCCATGCTTCTATATTTGAGAGAAAATTGGGCCCAAGCCCATCCCATGGATCATGCCCCATCCGCGCTTATGGAAATCTTGGGTTTTCCTCGTATAATTGCATCGTCTTGGAATCCCCACTAGATGGATCTTAAAATACCACGTATACTGTATATATAAAACGCATGTGCTTACGATCTGAAAGCAGTGGCTTTTTTCTCGCAAGCATGTAGTATGCCAAAAGGCAAGAAATAACGAATACAATGTTACGAATAAATACAATAAAAACTAATACAAAGGCAGTGGACGTAACAGGAGAAAGAGAACATCTCGATTTGAGAATACGCATGCATCAGCTACACACATCTGCCTGGACAGGTACATATAGCTCTACGTCTTTTCAATGATATTCAATGACAGGGAAAAAAAAAAAAAAACAACTCAGGAACTAGCAGGCCAATGCCTTCTGGTGCAAAGTGAACGAAGATTGCCGGCATCACACTCCTTATGTATGAAAGCAATGAAAGTAACCCACCGTGCGTGAGAAATCGCCTGCAACGACAAAGGCATTCAAAAGCATTCTGTGCACTGAGAAGTGATTCTTATCTCATCCACTTCTCACTTCAGACCTGCAGTCAAGGGGAAGATCTCATCTCCGTGCCATTGTAGAAGGGGGGTATCATTTTCATAATGTGATGGCAATCTGAATCCACATTCACCATGTCCTCAACAAAACGTAAGATATTCTTGGATGCACTAGAACCCAATACTTTTGACAGGACGATAAAGTTATATGCGCACGTGACAACTCTCTCCTGACGGTCTGCCCTAGAAGACTCAACTCCCTGGCTTTACCCTCAACGAGCGATCATTTCATTCCCAGGGTCACTCCGTATCTGATTTTCACAACGCAGACCACCCTTATACTGGATCACAATCACAATACGCATGGCGTTACAACTTGTCAAGAAAACTCCTTGAAGTGGTTAAGCTGCAGTAGGAATTTCTTTGTAAATCCTTTGAACTTAATGCTGACACCCCGAGTGCAGAGAAACCCCTTGGAACACTGAGAAGTACTTGCAGATAAGACAATACTTTCAGTATTTCCGAACTGATTATGATTTCAATGAATTGTGCCAAAGTTTCGTGCTAACTCACCTTATCATCGTCACATGAGAAAATTTGAGGTCTGAGTCTTGAGATTGCTTCAAGGGCGGTAACGGCCCATGATGCTTTTTAAATACCATTCGTCTTTGTGAATTAGGGGGAGTCTTCTTTCTTTGTCTTTGATAGCTTGATCCAACACAATTCTTTCTTGTGTGAGATTGAGTGAGGTTGAACTTCATTTGTTCTATTTCTTTGCCACGGAGGACTGTGAGGCGGTGGATGTATATCCATGGCAATATCGTATTTAATATATCGCGGATAAATCCGATTCCATCCGTGATTGTACGATATCGAGTACGTACATCATGAGGACTTAAGCAGTGCCCCCGATTATTCATGGATGTTATGGCGTTCAACTTTGAGTTGAAGGATCCCGATATTCTTTCCAGCACCCAAGTAGCCTCCACCTGCACTACACATGAATCGAATTTGCATATCAAAGGTCTCTCTTCTCCTATTTCAGTAACGGATCTCTCTCTACCTTCTGGTCTATATACTCTTCCTGGGGCTAGTCTGGGCTGCGCAACAAAGCGTTGTAGTGTTACGTTGCTTTTCTATTTTCATTCCATGGTCCATGATACCATACATATGGTACTACTCCGTCAATTTGGCGTTTTATTCATGCTTTTTTAATTCTATTAAATCTTCTTTTTGTTATGGTAACGTTAGAAAAGTCTATTTCTTTTCTTGCAATCCTGAAAAATTTTTTATATTCGCTGAAGTGACGTACTGCATACTTCGTAGAATTCGGGTGTACTTCTTTCGCTAGAAGCTGAATCTTTGAATCAACTGTGGGGATTAGGAATGGGAAACGACTAATCTGGACCTCTCCGATGAAACTCCAGATGACAAAGTACATTAATCGAACTCTGATGTGCATGCAGTGTGTGTAGGCTAGGTTTACAAGGATAGAAAAAAAAATGTTATGCGTCGAATGAGACATGAACAATGATACCATGTTGAGTACAAATGAGGAGTAGTTCAGAGATGTGATGCAAATAATTCCTGCCATCGCATAGGCCTGCACTGAATTTGTATTGACTTCGTACGTCATATGAACGTGACAAGCCCCATTGAGTCAATCCGTAATAGTACGAACTTTTTCTGTATTTGCCGTAGGTCATTCCTGTTATGAAAGCCCAAGGGCCTTACACACCATGAAACATCACCTTAATGAAGAATAATCCAGCTCAGCCTTGATGGGGAGATGTCTACGTGATGACTTCATACTTCATAAATATCGTGTTGCTAAATCATGGCAATCTATTTTTTACGTTTAATCAAATTACAATATCTGGTATGCGAATTTTAGTAGCTAAGACAGGATAATAAAAAATGTCAATTTCATAACGTTACGTACAAATGTTACATCTCATCTCTACTTTACTTTCATATTCCGATGCATCTGAATTTTAGGGTATTGGTATCCTTCCCCACAAGGCATTCATTATCGTTTCTCTACACAGCCACGGTCATGATACAGCCGGCTGCTTATCCGAAAAGCCTGCAGAACGAAAGGCAAATCTTATTTTAGCTCGTATGGGGGGTTAGAGCAGAGATAGACAATAACCCAGGACGGGGTGAATGGGGTGAGAGGTGAATGCCCTCTCTGCCGCCTTCATTCATAAATATTCCCCGGAATATCGTCATTCGCGTCCCCTTCCCCTTCCCTTCATTCATCCATCCATCCATCCTCCTCCATTCATTCCTTCCTTCCTTTCCTCCACGTGGAGCTGAATCTGGAGGTATTTAATCTTCCCCCTGCATCCATCCGTCGTGGTCAATCAGATCTTGGATTTCTTCTCTTTCTAAAGAGATCTAGAGTCTGTCTCACCTCATTCCCTGGAATGCTTCCTCTCGTAGAAATGCTATCAATCGAGCGGAACCTCCGCTCGCCCCATCCGCTTTCAGCGCGAGACCTTCTGAGAACAAAGGCTGAATTTCTCCTCCATCATCCGTGACTCATCTTTTTCTCTATACATGATGATGATGATTTGCCCATCTGTCTTGCCCCCCTCCCCCCCCCCCCTCCCCACCGCCCCCTTCTCTTCCTAGTGTAAGAGGGAAAAAACCTTGCATTGTATCAGCCGACCTCTTATGGTCCTTGGGCCGATTTCACGGTTGAGCACCCGATGGATTGGGTCTTGAGTGACGGTGAAGAGGTCCTTGAAAAAATGGCTGAGACTAATAACTCCTTTTGCTTCCTTGCCAATAGGACCAAGGATTTCCTTGTATGTTATTTTCAGAATCCGTAAGATGAGAAACCCCTTTCTTCGGGAATATTGACCAAATGGCTTTATGTAGGAAGGTTCCCTGTGACTCCTGACACGTGATCCTATCCAAATATACGTTTGGTCTC